CAACAAACGAAACGTGAAGTCCAAGGTAGACAAATAACATACCTCACACGGAACAAGATCCCACAACTGACTGGTGCCAAAGGGCTGCCTAAGTATGGGCCCCAATCAGAGACAACGAGCTACAGCTGCCTCTGATTGGGAACCACCCTGGCCAACATAGATCTAAACGATCTAGAAACTAACATAGACAAACCCAACACAGAAAATACACACCCTGACTCAACAAATACAAGTCCCTAGAGTCAGGGCGTGACAGTACCCCCCCCCCCCAAAGGTGCGGACTCCGACCGCGCCACATAAACCTAACAGGGTATGGGCCGGGTGGGCATTCCGCCTCGGAGGCGGATCCGGCTCCGGGTGTGACAACCACTTACTCTCCACCTCCCCGTTGCGCCCCTGGTCTGGTCTGGACCTCGGTGCGCTGCTTCCTCTCTCCTTCCTCCCACGAAGTACCACGCCCTGTCTGGACCCTGGTGTGGGAGACCCCGAACCTGGAGAGGGGCTGACGTCTGGGTCTGGACTGGAACCGCTGACCGGTGCTGGACTTGACCCCGGTGGAGCGGACTGCTCTGGCTCCGGAGTGGAGCCGCTGACCGGAGCTGGACTGGACCCCAGTGGAGCGGATTGCTCTGGCTCCAGAGTGGAGCAGCTGACCGGCACCGGTGGAACAGGCACGGGCCGTGCCGGACTGGACACACGCACCACTGGCTTGGTGCGGGGAGCAGGAACGGGCCGGACTGGGCTGACGACGCGCACCACTGGCTTGGTGCGGGGAGCAGGAACAGGCCGGGCCGGACTGGGAACACGCACCACTGGCTTGGTGCGAGGGACAGGAACAGGTCGGACCGAGCTGGCGACGCGCACCACTGGCTTGGTGCGAGGGGCAGGAACAGGCCGGGCCGGGCTGGTGACGCGCACCACTGGCTTGGTGCGAGGGTCAAGAACAGGCCGGGCCGGGCTGGCGACGCGCACCACTGACTTTGTGCGAGGGACAGGAACAGGCCGGACCGGGCTGGCGACGCGCACCACTGGCTTGGTGCGAGGGGCAGGAACAGGCCGGGCCGGGCTGGTGACGCGCACCACTGGCTTGATGCGAGGAGCAGGAACGGGCCGAACCATACTGGGAACACACACCACTGGCTTAGTGCGGGAAGCAGTAACGGGCCGGACCGGACTGGCGACACGCAGCACTTGATTGGTGCGAGGAGTGGGACTGGGTTCCTTCATTAACCCCCGCTCCTTCTGCTGCCTAGCCAGCTCCTCTCGCCGTGCCTCTACACTTTCCTTCTGCTCCCTCTGAACCAATGGCCCCCCTAATCTGGTGGCCTCTTCTGCTAACCAGCGGAACCGCCCTGTCGCGGCCTCCTGCTGCCTCGTCGTCCACGGCGTGAGCCCCCCCCCCCCCCATTTCTTTTTGGGCTTGTCTCTCCACCGTGATCAGGGCCTCCATACTTCTTGCCAGCCTCTCTCTCATCTCCTCCCAAGTCCATCCTCTCTCCTCGTCACGCTGCTTGATCCAGGATTGGTGGGATCTTCTGTCACGATCGTTCATGAACGAGAAGGACCAAGGCGCAGCGTGATATGCATTCATATTTATTTACGTACTGAACACACGACAAAACAACAAACGAAACGTGAAGTCCAAGGTAGACAAATAACATACCTCACACGGAACAAGATCCCACAACTGACTGGTGCCAAAGGGCTGCCTAAGTATGGTCCCCAATCAGAGACAACGAGCTACAGCTGCCTCTGATTGGGAACCACCCTGGCCAACATAGATCTAAACGATCTAGAAACTAACATAGACAAACCCAACACAGAAAATACACACCCTGACTCAACAAATACAAGTCCCTAGAGTCAGGGCGTGACACCTTCAGAATGCCTGGATGTCCTGAGAAGAGATGGTGGTCAGTTCCATTTCAATTCCAGTTATAGCATGGTTATTGTTTTTCTTTGATATCTCCAAGTATATTGGTAAATCATACCCCAGAGCTCTATGACACCCCAACAATAGGCTACAGCAGGGTTTTTGTGTCACACTGTCTAATCTTAATCAACAGCCAAAATCTTGGACAATAGGTCATAACTCACAGTGTACTATAGAGTCCCATACGCTAACAAAGAACTGTACAAGTCCCACATATAGTGTGTTTGTTTGCGCGTGTGCGTTTGTGTGTGCGTGCATGTGTGTGTTTATGTGCGTGTGTGTGCATATGTGTGTCCCCGTGCATGTATGTGTGTGTGTGTGTGTGTTTGTGTTTAAGCATGATCCACCAGTCATAAATCTCATCTGTGCTGTTTAGTCCTGCACATACAGTTGAAGTCGGAAGTTTACATACACTTAAGTTGGAGTCATTAAAACTTGTTTTTCAACCACTCCACAAATGTCTTGTTAACAAACTATAGTTTTGGCTACTTTGTGCATGACACAAGTCATTTTTCCAACAATTGTTTACAGACAGATTATTTCACATACAATTCACTGTATCACAATTCCAGTGGGTCAGAAGTTTACATACACTAAGTTGACTGTGCCTTTAAATAGCTTGGAAAATTCCAGAAAATGATGTCATGGCTTAAGAAGCTTCTGAGAGGCTAATTGACATAATTTGAGTCAATTGGAGGTGTACCTGTGTATGTATTTCAAGGCCTACCTTCAAACTCAGGGCCTCTTTGCTTGACATCATGGGAAAATCAAAAGAAATCAGCCAAGACCTCAGACATTTTTTTTGTAGACCTCCACAAGTCTGGTTCATCCTTGGGAGCAATTTCCAAACACCTGAAGGTACCACTTGCATCTGTACAAACAATAGTACGCAAGTATAAACACCATGGCACCACGCAGCTGTCATACCGCTCAGGAAGGAGACACGTTCTGGCTCCTAGAGATGAACGTACTCTGGTGCGAAAGTGCAAATCAATCCCAGAACAACAGCAAAGGACCTTGTGAATATGCTAGAGGAAACAGGTACAAAAGTATCTATATCCACAGTAAAACGAGTCCTATATCGACATAACCTGAAAGGCCGCTCAGCAAGGAAGAAGCCACTGCTCCAAAACCGCCATAAGAAATCCAGACTATGGTTTGCAACTGCACATGGGGACAAAGATCGTACTTTTTGGAGAAATGTCCTCTGGTCTGATTAAACAAAAATAGAACTGTTTGGCCATAATGACCATCGTTATGTTTGGAGGAAAAAGGGGGTTGCTTGCAAGCCGAAGAACACCATCCCAACCATGAAGCACGGGGGTGGCAGCATTATGCAGTGAGGGTGCTTTGCTGCAGGAGGGACAAGTGCACTTCACAAAATAGATGGCATCATGAGGAAGGAAAATGATGTGGATATATTGAAGCAACATCTCAAGACATCAGTCAGGAAGTTAAAGCTTGGTCGCAAATGTGTCTTCCAAATGGACAATGACCCCAAGCATACTTCCAAAGTTGTGGCAAAATGTCTTAAGGACAAAGTCAAGGTATTGGAGTGGCCATCACAAAGCCATGACCTCAATCCTATAGAACATTTGTGGGCAGATCTGAAAAAGTGTGTGCAAGCAAGGAGACCTACAAACCTGACTCAGTTACACCAGCTCTGTCAAGAGGAATGGGCCAAAATTCACTCAATTTATTGTGGGAAGCTTGTGGAAGGTTACCCGAAACGTTTGACCCAAGTTAAACAATTTAAAGGCAATGCTACCAAATACTAATTGAGTGTATGTAAACTTTTGACCCACTGGGAATGTGATTAAATAAATAAAAGCTTAAATAAATCATTCTCTCTACTATTATTCTGACATTTCACATTCTGAAAATAAAGTGGTGATGCTAACTGACCTAAGACAGGGAATTTTTACTAGGATTAAATGTCAGGAATTGTGAAAAACTGAGTTTAAATGTATTTGGCTATGGTGTATGTAAACTTCCGACTTCAACTGTATGTGATAATGGAGGAAGTGCCCAACTGTCAGTTAGTAAATTATATGGGTGAGGGGAAGCAAATTGAAGGATATCAGAGATAACTGAAATGATTGGTTCTAGAGAGCACACTTAGTCTTTTCTTTGTCCTGATGTTGTTCAGCAGAGGCGGAATGGCACCAACATTTGGCCATCCACTGGGGAAAACATTGGGGGATATACTAATGGGCTATTGTGTATATTTTACTGTAAATGCTTCCATCTCATAAAGTAGCCTGTCCCTAAATACATGCTGTAGGCCTACTACCAGAACAAGTGCCAGACACAATAATTTACCATTATCAGAGAGTAGCTAATGCTTGTAAAACATTTTTATAATAATTTGGGATGAGATAATGTTTGTCAAGCCTGGCCAACTATCCTTCATTGGCTAACCACATATCCATAACCTTGTTTCATAAGCCAACAGCCCATTTCACAGATTGATGAATGCCAACTACATTGAGTGTACACTACATTATGAAGAGATAATGCTGAACAATTAATCAACCGCTGTTAGCAATTGCAATCACCCCAAATTTGAGCCTACAAGAGAATGGTGTCATTCGATGTCTTATAAATCGCATTGTGCATAATTATGACCACGAGAGCGTGGACAGACCCAAGTTTAATTTTGGAGTGCTTTTTTCTTGGGCGGTGGTACTGAAAGCTGACGTGAGACGCGCAGCCCAGCCCCTTCTATAATTTGTAAGGGGAAATAGGGCGAGGAGGGATTTGCGCGGAGCCATCCGGCGACTGAGGACGCATCAGATGGAGACAGCAACTGCATTACGCACCAAGAATATGTAGAACAGTACACTCTGGACAGATAACTTCAGACATATTGAAAAATTTTTTCATAAAAAGTATCTTCACTTACATTGTATCGAAAACGAATGAGGAACATTCCAACGAATTGAGATACAATATTGTCTGATGGCTGTATTCAAGAGACTCAAGAGACTTTGAAACAAATTATGCCTTTATTATCTGAATAGGCAAAAACATCTGTCAGCTACTGTCAAACGACTTAGGAAGACATATGAAGGTATTTGTGCGCCCTACACTTACATTTGAAAATAGTTCAGCACTAGAAAAAGGGATGAACTCGTCAGGTTTGGACAACCTAACCGAATTTGAAACATGGTATCTCAACAGAACGGATTTCGAGGAGGAAAATCTGAAACTTTTGTTCGGGATTGGCATGGACAATTTCATTACGCTTTTGGTTTTCGGACTCATCTTTACGCTTGGAGTGTTGGGAAACTCCATGGTCATCACAGTGCTGGCCCGTAGTAAACCCGGAAAACCACGGAGCACCACCAACATATTCATCCTCAACCTTAGCATCGCCGACCTGTCCTACCTGCTTTTCTGCATCCCTTTTCAGTCAACCATTTACATGATGCCGACATGGGTTCTGGGTGCCTTTATCTGCAAGTTCATTCATTATTTCTTCACCGTTTCCATGCTGGTCAGTATTTTCACCTTGTCCGCAATGTCGGTGGACCGCTACATTGCGATTGTTCACTCCAGAAAGTCGTCCTCCATCCGCGTGTCAAAACACGCTTTGATCGGAGTGGTGGTCATTTGGACACTCTCTTTGGCCATGGCAGCGCCAGTCGCGGTCATACACAACATATACCAGAGAGATGAGAATCACACATATTGCTGGGAAGTGTGGCCGGATCAAAACCAAAAGAAAGTCTATGTTGTGTGCACGTTTGTTTTTGGTTATGTATTGCCCCTGCTGCTGATTTCGTTCTGTTACGCAAAGGTAAGCAAGAAATCCTGATTTATTTATTATTGCATTGATAGATAATTGTATTCACAATGAGTTATGTCAATTTCTGAGTTTGGGTACTCTAAAATGGGGACAACTAAGACATAAATTAGATAGCCTTTGAAAATACATTATTTCAATATAATGTTATTACATATTTGTTATAACATAGGCTTTAATTAATTGTTTGGTATGTCATCACACAATTGTTTATGCATTTTCAGGTTTTAAATCACCTGCACAAAAAACTCAGAAACATGTCCAAAAAGTCAGAGGCATCGAAAAAGAAGGTATGTAAAACCATTCATAACATTTGCATATTGACTGTTGATGGTGATCATTAGTGTATGATGGACAACCCCACAAATGCAGTATGTTGTGAGTATTACAGTCTCCCACACCAGTTGTCCAGCAGCAATAGTATGGGAACAACACCCACAGTAGTTTAAAGCTACAGTCTGGGATTTAGAAAGCTGTGCAATGGTCATTTCAATTCTTGATATTTACCCAATGATTCTTGAAGATTATAACTTGTACATGTCTCATGAGCTTACCACTATGACCCACTATGTCTTTATCATAACCCAAAATATAAGGTTTTATTACTTGTGTACAAACACCAATAATGTAAAGAAACACCATATAGCTTCGAAATATAGTTAAAACTAAATCTACAAGTTTTATCATCTTGGACTGTCAGTCCGTGCATTTAGAGAGCTGTCTATGATTTTGGGAGGGGTTACCTTTCTGAAGCCTCATCTCTCAGCTCAGCTGTATGCCAAATAAGTGGCGGGGACCCTGTTTTGTTGTTTTTTGACATTTTTACTTTAATAGTTTTGCTAGACATCTTGTCTAGAGCGCTAGGGAAGTGTTAAAACATACAATATCTTTGAAGCTATATAAGGCTTCTATCCCTGTAGCCTAAAAATACAGTTTGGATAATATGTTTTCAAAGATATAATCATGTCAAACATATCATGCAATGTCCAATCCCTCTTACTTTTAAATGCACTTTATGATGATGTTTATGATGATGTTGATGATCCATTTGGTTCAAGTCGTTGCACAATCTTAATGTAAGTTGAGAAATCCCATGTTTAGTAATGTGCCATTTTCAGGGACATTGTGTATAGAAGCATAGAGCCAGAAGCGTCATGCCAATATCAGATTTGTTCTGTTTAAAAAATTTTTAATACAAATAATAATAATATATTTTTGGTTGATGTTTCTCTGTAATACTGCTAGCCACCTAGCAATTTTATGAAGTTGGCTTTAGCTGGCACAGATAGGTTCCCAATCTCTTAACCTCATAACTAGCTACCAAGAAGCCATTTCAGGATATCAATCAAGTTAGAGTAGCTAGCTTGTCTAACTATCTTAGATGGCATGCCTACTGGCAAGGTTGGTAGACTTTAGAAAAGCAAGCAATAACTACATGTACTGAATAAAACTCACATTCCTTTCAATCTTTTACACAGATTTTTAGCAGAGATGCAGAGAAGCATATTTAGTTTCTTTAAAAGAAGAACCATAGACAGCTCAAGAGGTATGCTTAGATATGCAGACAAATAGACATATTTTTGATAAATAATTAATCATAATGATTATGGCTCTAGATTGTGGGAAAAAGCTGTTTCAAAAAGCCCCCCTCCAGACAACCCCCTAGCCATCCTCACATAGTCTGTGCCAGCTCCGATTTTTTGGGGTGCATGACGCACCTGCATAGAGCTGCAACGTATACCATGGAAGAACCAACATCCCTTTGCCAGTTTTCTAGGCAAAAAATAATAGTCTAGCGAAGAAAAATAACTGATAAACTTAGTCAGTATTGTAAGTTGAATATATAATTGGTATCGGCAGGACATTCCATCTACAGTGTCCCTGAAGCGCCTGTCCATTACCACACTTGAGTAAAGCAGCAGAGTGGGACTTTCAGCCATTACTCTTCCTGATGGCCATTTGCCTGTCTGAGCCAACCTGCTGCTGCTGCTCGCCTGGCGCTGCGCTGATCGTCTGTCAGGACTGTATCACACACCAACACATGGGCCTCAGAGATCTATATTTGTTCCAGCCAATATGCTCCAAATAAACGGTTCAGTAGTGTCCTCTGATGTTTTTATACATTGGCTCTTTAGTGTTGGCCTTTTACAATATGCCAACACACTGGTCCATATGCCTTGCACACAACTAAACAATAAAATAGTAATGATGGTCTGAACTAAGTGTTTACAAAAATGTATTCGCGTTTTGTCACATCTAGACAGTGTAAATGTCATTCAATGAGTATAAACTCTGATTACTGAAATATTTGTCTATAGGAATATCTTGACTATAATCAGGATTCCATCCAACCTTTTAATGCGAGTAAAGTACATGTACAAAAAATGACACAACAGGCCTGATGGAAACAACTAATTTGTCGGTAAACTTTCCAAATGTCCACAAAACTAAATATGCTAGACAAGGTGGGATCTTTTTGTGTCTGTAAAATTAATTATGTGAGAAATGGCGGTGGAAACGCTTTTACTAATAACCATCATATCATGTAAACTTGGAGTCACGTGATTACATGTTGTGTGGTCCTCCCACTACGACTTGGGAAAGCATGCAATTCATTAGGCTACAGATGAAATCAGTTATGATGAACTTCACAGGGTGGTGAAAGTGCAAGATGATGAGCTCGATGCTTGGCTGCCATTTGACAAATAATAATAATAATCTCATCATGTAGGCTATACCCGCACTGTATCTGCAAACTGTTGGCTAAGGCGCACGTGCCAATACCAGAGTCGGCACATTCACTATATAACTCCCCATAAATTGTAACAAAACCATCAGTAGATGTGAAGATGTGATGGAAACCCATTTAACTTATATGGGAATGTAACTGCAAAAATGATTTGTTTGTGTACTACGCCATCACGCACAGCCGCAATATGTCAATTTGATGTAAACACCTCTGGCGGAAGAATTTGCATATTGTTTTTATGCAGATTTTAGAATATTCTCATGAAAATATGTTGCCAATTGGATGGAAACCTAGTTGATGAGATACAGCTGCCTGGTTCAAATCGATGCGCATGTTTGAGCCTTCAACCATCTCACCCAACCAGCCTAATTTATTTACAGTTGAAGCTTGTGGATACAATTATATGTGTCAAATCAGTAAAGTAAACTGAGGCTGTGTCCATAGGCAGATCAAGAGACAAGGTGTTCAATTAAATGTATAATAAAATGTGTGTGTCTGTCTGTGTCTGTGTGTGTGTGTGTGTGTGTGTGTGTGTGTGTGTGTGTGCACATACAGTATATGTACACTGAGGATACAAAACATTAAGAACACCTTCCTAATATTGAGTTGCACCTTTTGCCCTCAGAACAACCTCAATTCATCGGGGCATGGACTCTACAAGGTGTCGAAAGCGTTCCACAGGGATGCTGGCCCATGTTGACTCCAGTGCTTCCCACAGTTGTGTCAAGTTGGCTGGATGTCCTTTGGGTGGTGGACCACTCTTGATACACACGGGAAACTGTTGAGTGTGAAAAACAGTGTTGCAGTTCTTGACACAAACCGGTGCGCCTGGCACCTACTACCATACCCCGTTCAAAGGCACTTAAATCATTTGTCTTGCCTATTCACCCTCTGAATGGCACACGTACACAATCCATGTCTACACAATCCATGTCTCAATTGTCTTCTTTAACCTGTCTCCTCCCCTTCATCTACACTGATTGAAGTGGATTTAACAAGTGACTTCAATAAGGGATCATAGCTTTCAACTGGATTCACCTGGTCAGTCTATGTCATGGAAAGAGCAGGTGTTCATAATGTTTTGTACACTCAGTGTATGTATGTATGTACGCATGTGTGTGCGTGTGTGTGCTCGCATATGTGTGTGCATGTGTGAGGAGTAGGAGGAGGCTGGCCTCGATCTCCAGCCATCAGTTCAGTAACTCCTCCAATGCTGTGAAACGGCGCGTCAGGAGCAGCTGGGAAAACAATGCTACTATTGCCACTGTTATAAAACATCTCTACTTATCAGCCCTAGGTACACACAGAAGGAGTACATGGTGTTTATAGACTGTCGTGTGTGGCATCCCAGTGAGCACAACAAAAATACGTCTTTTCAACGTCTTTTCACCATCTTGTGCTCATAGGGATATCTCTAAAGCTCCTGTAATCCTCCCTAATAGACTCTAGCCCTAATTGGTCCTTTACTTTGACAAGCGTATTAAGCAAATGTTGTACTTTCAATCCACTCCTCAAAATAATCTTGACTATGTGTTTGGATTATTATAAAGGGAATCGTGACATGAGAGCAATGGAGGCCAGATAAACCTGGATTTTTGTATCATGCACTTGGTTATAAATGTAATGTGTCATATCAATTCCAGTACTTTCTGACAATTCATAACAAACATACTTGAATAAATTAAATGTCAACAGACGATTGTTAGCGATTGCAGTCTTAAAAAACATATTTAGGCTGTTCTGCAAAAAAAGTTGTTCCCTGGAGTAGGTAATGGGTTTGTTTTTGATTGGCATGCCACTATGTTTTAATGAATTCCCTGCGTAGGAGGTGTGAGGCACAGTTAATTAGCTGATTTAACAGTTTTGCTCTCAGTTATTTCAGTCAATTAGGCGTTTAAACAACACACAGGAATTGTTATGGATGCCAATGCTGGACTGGGTCTTCCAAAAGCCTCTAAATGGAGAGCTAAAGCCCTTCAATGTGAGGATGACAGAGGGGAAGTTACAATGTTCTACCTCTATTGTTTCGCTTCATTGATTTGGTCTTTTGGGGGATTTTGAGCCCCCTGACTGTTTGTGTGTGTGTGTGTGGGGGGGGGGATATATGCAAGCAGACACATTTGTAAACATCTCCAGCCCAGCCCCAATGCCTTCTTAGTATGTTCCCGCTCTTTAATATATCTCCCATGTTGCATGCTAATTATTTAACACAGCTGTAAATCAATCTGCAAGCCAGGAATGCAGAGGAAAGGCAGTGCAGGCCAGCAAGCATGAAATTGGCCTTTCAGCTGACTCTGCTAGTTTTGGCAAAAGACATCCCAGATTCTACTGAAAGATAATCTCATAAAGGGACATGTCACATGTTTAGTGGATGCACACAGTTATAGCAAATAGACAATGTATTGACATTAAAAGATAAGTTCAGAAGTCAAATTACATTTTTTCTAAGAAAACTGTAGAGGACAAATGCCACCCTTCATACTTGGAGACTTCTTACCTCCCTCTCTCTCTTCCCCCAATAGACTGCCCAGACGGTTCTTGTAGTGGTGGTGGTGTTCTGCCTGTCATGGCTCCCCCATCATGTGGTCCACCTGTGGGTGGAGTTCGGCAACTTCCCTCTGACCCAGTGGTCCTTCTTGTTCCGGGTGGCGGCCCATTGCCTGGCCTACAGCAATTCCTCCGTCAACCCTGTCATCTATGCCTTCCTCTCTGAGAACTTCAGGAAGGCCTACAAGCAGGTGTTCAGGTGTCAGATTACCAACTCCCCTCTCAACGAACTCAAGGAGTTACGCAGCAAGGTGGACAACACACCACCCTCCACCAACTGCACCAACGTCTGATTGGAGGTCACTGAGAGCCAGCTCAACTACGGCCATGATGATTGGTTGTTTTCGAGGGTCCTTCTGAGACATATAATGCTATGAGGTTCCATGTTTCTGTTCAGATATTGTTGGGGATGGGATAGCATGGGCTATGGACAGACAATATGAAGAAAACTGGATATTAGTTCAAGCTACACAGTTCCACATCAGCGCTGTTCCATCACCAGAATAACGCCACGCCAGACGATGTGCCATACTGGGCATACTGTCATATGTATAGTGAGCATCTCTCTTTCTTTTCTTTCTCTCTTGCTCCCTCTCGCTCCCTCTCCTCTATCTTGCTTTCTCTCTCTTTCTCTCTGTCATGATGACAGTAAGATTGCTGAATCTGACTCTCAAGGAAAGGAGAGAATGTGGACTTTGATATTTCACTGATCGTCTTATTATACATCACAACTGTGAATGTTTGGTAATTTGCCTTCTTATATGTGCATATATTTTGTGCATGTGCATATTGTTGGTCCTTCTTGATGCTGTATTTCTGCTGTCATAAGTAGCCATTGAAATGAGCGTCTGTAAAATAGCTTCACTCTACACATTAAAGCCTGAGATTACTGCTGTATATGTTACATGGTAGCCTACTATGGAGTAGTTTTGAATAGTTAAAACATATTAGCTATTGCTCTATTAGATATTGCCCAGAAGAAGAAAAAAATGTACACAGTGTAATTTTCTCTTTAAAGTTGAATATTTTTTGAAGAGAAAGCATTTTGTTGTTTGAATGTAATGGCTGATTCTCTTGTTGCGAGTTGCCAATGTGAATACAAGCGAAATGTTGTCCGTATAACTTAAACCTGTCTTGACATCTGTAATAGAGACCTTTCAGTGGAAAAAAACACAAGTTGGGATTTGTATTAATGATATTGTATAAATTATTTAAAAATACTCTAATGTGTACTCAATATAAGCCTACTTTATCTTATTTATTTAATTGGTGTATGATATGGGAAGCTTAAGTCCATGTTTTCTGGCATGTTGTTTTGTCATGACATTGGCTTGTACAGGTACAGTATGTGGTTTTATCTTAGTGCTGGATCACTGAGCAACCTTGCTTCAAAGGCATTGTGTGGGATCTCATTACCCTTTGACCTCCATTTCCCCCCATCATTTCAGAGAAAACTAAAGAAAAATCTTCAAAGATCAGAGAGTGTCAGGTTGTTGTTTGTCTGTGGTAACCACTTACAATCAAAAGTAAACAGAAAAAAACATAATTATTCTCTTAAAAGTATATCCTGCTCCTTTTCACAGCTAATACCACATCCACGCTTGATAGTTTAGTATATGTGAGAGAGATTTGAAAAAGTCACTTCTTCTCATTTTATGTGTCGAAAGCTAGCTAATACTCTTTAAATATTTATATATTGTGTTTGGTTAACATAAGCCAATCAGGGATTGTCTACTCTAGATAGAGAGCAAGAATGAATACAGTAAAAACCAAAAAACATGGAAGAGACAGCTCTTTGGTTATTTCTATCCATGGTATAGGACAAAACTATCTCATACGGATTTGTATATATTTGAGTACTGCCATGGGACGCTCACTTCGTGTTCATTGTACGGTGTGTGGCTATCTCCATAGTGAGGCACTGTTGCACACTCTTACTTAGCAAATGTCAGTAATGAACATCTAGAATGGGTTAGGTTTAGGCATGCTATTAAGTGGTTAGGGTAAGTGTTAGGGTAAGGTTAGAAAACAAAAACATGCATGGATTGGAAACTGCTGCTACTCACAGATTACAAATCCTGCAATTTACGTTCCCCACAACCCCCAAACAACTACCTTGCAAAGCATTTCCTGTCATGACTCTTGTCAAGTTTTCAATCACCACCACATAAGGGCGTCAGCAAATTTACAATTACACTCAAACTCAGCTGCCCATAGAATCGTTCAGTTATGCACAAATCTGTTATGAGATGGGGCTGGAACTACAATTTTTTTTTTTTCATTTTGTATTTATGGATTAATGCAACCCAGAGACTATCAAGTGATAATCATGTTAAATGATTCATTTTAATCCCTCATTACTCGTTATCAGTGTGTTTAATATTAATTAAAACTCTCTTGTTGAATTAAGACTCTTGATGATTCTTTCAATCCCCCACAATTAGTTTGATTGAACACTGTGTTTCAATCAAATATATACTTTCTGGAACATAATAAATGGAGTACTTTCTACACTTCTACAAATATCTATCTGTATTTCAATTTCTAAAATGTTTGGGAAACTGTAGAAACGTTGAGTTTCTTAGTGGCATATTACAAAAAATTACACTTTTATAATTTGCCAATGCAGTGCTTATACATGTTGATATCACATTAAACTGTTGATCATTTTGTTGCAAGCAATATGTTTCCTCATGAAAGACTCACTGATTTAATTTGTTGGCTTTTTTTCCTACTATGAACATACAATATACAGTATATTGTGATGAAGGTAGATGTTATGGGATTTGACCATGGACCAGGCGATCTGTAGTTCACTTCCATTCCCTCAATCAAGTCCTCATTTCTATTGAGGTAACAGTATTATTTCATGTCCACCAACCAGCTGGCCCATGAGAGAATAATCCATTTCCTGAAAGTGGCATTTGGCTCATTACTAAACATTTGTGCTGAATTGGACTGTTTCGCCCAGGCAATGGACCACTGGCTTCGCTCAGAATAGATTGGTTTACAAGGCATGGAATACAAAATGTGCCTAGCTTTTTGCACTATAAAGCAACAAATCATCAGCCACATCATCCAGTGCCACCCAGTTCTGCAGGAATACGTCTCACATCAGAAAGCATAAAAATGCCATCTGTAGTACTTCAAAATAGCTTTTTTAAAACAGCCAGGTTTTAGTAAACAAACTTGGAGCACAGCACATACATAATACATTAAACATGAAAACTATCTCATCCCGGAAGCATAGCCCTCCAAGAATGTGGAGATGAAGTGAATTCCAGAACAAATTTATCTTGAGAACTTTTTGTTGTGAATTATTTTGTGGATAGCATGCTCCCATCAGGACAGTAAACACCACTAGGTCCCATCCAAATATCAACTTTATCCTTACTCACAATCTTCTTGGCTAGCTATTTTACTACTTTATATCCTGGGTCACCATGCTCCCCCAAGAGGATAATAAATAACACTGTCCCCTACAGATGTAGGATCTTAATTTGACCGGTATTATCACAGCAAAATAATCCTGCAGCAACAGGATTTTAACTTTTAGTTCATAATGTTAGGCTATTAGCTGGCCAAAATTAGGCTACATGAAAAGTGCAATAATGTTTATATAACCGTGTGCTAGTGTAAATCACAAAGCTCCTATTTGCCAAACTCCTATTTGCCATATCTTCAATTTAAGCCTACTAGAAAGTGTGTGCCTTCAGGCCTGGAGGGAAGCAAAAGTTATTCCCCTACCTAAGAATAGTAAAGCCCCCTTAACTGGTTCAAATAGCAGACCAATCAGCCTGTTACCAACCCTTAGTAAACTTTTGGAAAAAATGGTGTTTGACCAGATAAAATGCTATTTCACAGTAAACAAATTGACAACAGACTTTCAGCATGCTTATAGGGAAGGACATTCAACAAGCACAGCACTTACACAAATAACTGATGATTGGCTGAGAGAAATTGATGATAAAAAGACTGTGGGGGCTCTTTTGTTAGACTTCAGTGCGGCTTTTGACATTTCCGATCATAGTCTGTTGCTGGAAAAACATATGTGTTATGGCTTTACACCCACTGCTATATTGTGGATAAAGCGTTACCTGTCTAACAGAACACAGAGGGTGTTTTTTAATGGAAGCCTCTCCAACAAAATCCAGGTAGAATCAGGAATTCGCCAGGGCAGTTGTCTAGGCCCCTTACTTTTTTCAATCTTTACTAACAACATGCCACTGGCTTTGAGTAAAGCCAGTGTGTCTATGTATGCGGATGACTCAACACTATACACGTCAGCTACTACAGCGACTGAAATGACAGCAACACTTGTTAGTTTCAGAATGGGTGGCAAGGAATAAGTTAATCCTAAATATTTAAAAAACTAAAAGCATTGTATTTGGGACAAATCATTTACTAAACCCTAAACCTCAACTAAATCTTGTAATGAATAATGTGGAAATTGAGCAAGTTGAGGAGACTAAATTGCTTGGAGAAACCCTGGATTGTAAACTGTCATGGTCAAAACATATTGATACAACAGTAGCTAGGATAGGGAGAAGTCTGTCTATAATAAAGCACTGCTCTGCATTCTTAACAGCACTATCAACAAGGCAGGTCCTACAGGCCCTAGTTTTGTCGCACCTGGACTACTGTTCAGTTGTGTGGTCAGTTGCCACAAAGAGGGACTTAGGAAAATTGCAATTGGCTCAGAACAGGGCAGCACGGCTGGCCCTTGGATGTACACAGAGAGCTAACATTAACCTCTTAAGGATCGGACCCTTTTTTTCAATTTTCACCAAAAGGACATAACCAAATCTAACTGCCTGTAGCTCAGGACCTGAAGCAAGGATATGCATATTCTTGATACCATTTGAAAGGAAACACTTTGAAGTTTGTGGAAATGTGAAATGAATGTAGGAGAATATAACACATTAGATCTGGTAAAAGATAATACAACATCCGTTTTTGTGTGTGTTTTTTTATCATCTTTGAAATGCAAGAGAATGGCCACAATATAATATTGCAGTTTAGGCGCAATTTAGATTATGGCCACTAGATGGCAGCAGTGTGTGTGAAAGTTTCAGATTGATCCAGTGAAGCATTGCAATACTGGACTATTTTGTATCATGTCTGCCCAAATGTGCCGAATTGGTCAATTGATACATTTTCAAGTACATAAGAATTGGTCAATTGATACATTTTCAAGTACATAACTATAGAGAACATACAAAAATGATATGGTGATACAAAATGTAAGTTTACACACTCCCAGGAATGTCATACATGATGGATCATTAGCTTATACACTAACTTTCACACATTGAGATGGCCGGGCGGGTAGGGTGTGGAGCCAGAGACAGCAGGGGTTCAAACTGTAGAACCCAGTTCCTACATTTGAATATAAAAATGGATTTGATCAAACAAAACTATGCTACATTTTATCTCTGGGACCCTTAGGATGACAAATCAGAGCAAGATTACTGAATGTAAGTACATTATTTACCTTCAGAGGTTAATGTATCAAACCAGTGGGCGTGATAATTTTTGTTATTGTTGTGCACTCTCCTCAAACAATAGCATGGTATTTTTTCACTGTAATAGCTACTGTAAATTGGACAGTGCAGTAAGATTAACACAAATTTAAGCTTTCTGCCCATATAAGACATGTCCATGTCCTGGAAAGTTTGCTTTTACTTACAACAGTCATGCTAATCACCTTAGCGCACGTTAGTTCAAATGTCCCGTATACGGGACACCGATCCCATAGAGGTTAATAATATGCATGTCAATCTCTCCTGGCTCAAAGTGGAGGAGAGATTGACTTCAGCACTACTTGTATTTGTGAGAGGTATTGACATGTTGAATGAACCGAGCTGTCTGTTTGAACTACTGGCACACAGCTTGGACATCCATGCATACCCCACAAGACATGCCATCAGAGGTCTCTTCACAGTCCCCAAGTCAAGAAAAGACTATGGGAGGTGCACATTACTACATAGAGCCATGACTACATGGAACTCTATTCCACATCACGTAACTCATGCCAGCAGTAAAATTAGATTTAAAAAACAGATAGAAAAACCTTATGGAACAGTGGGGACTGTGAAGCAACACAAACATAGACACATGCATACAAACACACAATAACATATGCACTACACACACGTACACATGGATTTTGTGTTATAGATATGTGGTAGTAGAGTAGAAGCCTGAGGGCACACACTTAATATGTTGTGAAAGCTGTTATGAATGTATTGTAATGTTTTTAAAATGTATAACTGACTTAATTTTGCTGGACACCAGGAAGAGTAGCTTCTGCCTTAGCAGCAGCTAATGGGGATCCATAATAAATGCAAATACAAATCTCAGCAACAAAACAGTGATCAAATTAAGATCCTACATCTGTACCAAGCTTATTAGGCTATACATAAAACTCTTTAATCATGCAGAGAACATACATGGTTCTAGCCTACAGTACTGTATCAAGGTCACTCTTTTTCTCAAAAGCACCCACATCTTGTGCAATTGATTTTGGAGGACTGAGAGATATTTATTTCAATATGAAGAGGATGAAAGTAAGGGGTATTATTGACTATTGTTGAGGGCTATACCAGTCAAACCTGGTATTATCCTGGATATGCTTTTGGGATACATTTTTTTGTACAAGGTCATGTTCTTTCTATCTACGTTGAGGTACAAACGAATTAATGTGTAGTTACAGTGCATTCTGAAAGTATTCAGACCCCTTTACTTTTTCCACATTTTGTTACGTTACAGCCTTATTCTAAAATGGATTACATTGTTTGTTTTACCTCATCAAACGACACACTATACCCTAAAATGACAAAACAAAAACTTGTTTTTCTTTTTTTTTTTGCAAATGTATAAAAACATAAAAGTGGAAATATCACATTTACATAAGTATTAAGACCCTTTACTCAGTAGTTTGTTGAAGCACCTTTGGCAGTGATTACAGCCTTGAGTCTTCTTGTGTATGACGCTACAATGCTTGGCACACCTGTATTTGGAGAGTTTCTCCTATTCTTCTCTGCAGATCCTCTCAAGCTCTGTCAGGTTGGATGGGGAGCGTCGATGCAGAGCTATTTTCAGGCCTCCCCAGAGATGTTAGATCGGGTTCAAATCCGGGCTCTGGCTGGGCCACTCAAGGACATTCAGAGACTTGTCCCGAAGCCACTCCTGTGTTGTCTTTGCTGTGTGCTTAGGGTTGTTGTCCTGTTGGAAGGTGAACCTTCGCCCCAGTCTGAGGTCCTGAGCGCTCTGGAACAGGTTTTCATCAAGGATCTCTATGTACTTTGCTCCATTCCTTTTTCCCTCAATCCTGACTAGTCTCCCAGTCCCTGCTGCTGAAAAACATCCCCACAGCATGATGCTGCCATTACCATGCTTCACCGTAGGGATGGTGCCAGGTTTCCTCCAGACGTGACGCTTGGCATTCAGGCCAAAGAGTTCAATCTTGGTTACATCAGACCAGAGAATCTTGTTTCTCATGGTCTGACAGTCCTTTAGGTGCCTTTTGAAAAACTCCAAGCGGGCTGTCATGTGCCTTTTACTGAGGAGTGGCTTCCGTCTGGCCACTCTACCATAAAGGCCTGATTGGTGGAGTGCTGCAAAGATGGTTGTCCTTCTGGAAGGTTCTCCCATCTCCTCAGATTAACTCTGGAGCTCTGTCAGAGTGACCATCGGGTTGTTGGTCACCTCACTGACCAAGGCCCTTCTCCCCCAATTGCTCAGTTTGGCCGGGCGCCAGCTCTAGGAAGAGTCTTGGTGGTTCCAAACTTCTTCCATTTAAGAATGATGGAGGCAGCTGTGTTCTTGGGGACCTTCAATGCTGCAGACATTTTTTGGTACCCTTCCCCAGATCTGTGCCTCGACACAATCCTGTCTCGGAGCACTATGGACAATTCCTTCGACCTCATGGCTTGGTTTTTGCTCTGACATGGACTGTCAACTGTGGGACCTTAGGTGTGTGCCTTTCCAAATCATGTCCAATCAATTGAATTTACCACAGGTGGACTCCAATCAAGTTGTAGAAACATCTCAAAGATGATCAATGGAAACAGGATGCACCTGAGCTCAATTTCGATTCTCAAAGCAAAGGTTCTGAATACTTATGTAAATAAGGTATTTCTGTTTTTCATTTTTAATACATTTACGAACAAAACACCTGTTTTCGCTTTGTTGTTATGGGGTATTCTGTGTAGATTGATGAGGAAAATGTTTTATTTAATCAATTTTAGAATAAGGCTGTAACATAACAAAATGTGGGAAAAGGGAGGGGGTCTGAATACTTTCCGAATGCACTGTATATGTAGCAGATTTTGTGCTTTGGTGGATGGGCTGGTATTTTGTGAGTTGATATGATATCTGCTCTATGAATTCTAGTTTTTTGAACCCAGCAGGTAAATAACATTGGACTACACAAGCTATCTGCTACCCTCCCTTGCATGTAACATATGCTAGCTATATGTGAGGATTTTTATTTCACCCACCCACTTATGTTTCCACACAGCTTTGACTGTTTACTTATGATTAAACAACATTTGTACTGTAACATGGCACTGTTTGTTAGAGTCTGCCGCCAATGTTTCACCAGCACAATTATGATTTATATTTGACTATACACAGGGTGGGGGAGAGTTTGTACACACCATGTTATGAGACTGTAAACATTTTAGAGATGCTGCCCTCCAAAATTAATTAATATGAATAAGATCATTAATCATGCGAGTGTCTCCTGTGGAATTAAATATATTAGCTAAGGGATACTCTGAAAAATATACTTACCGATGACAAATGTGAGTTTCACAGCTTTCTCCTAATGATAATGGATAATAAGGATTATCTCTGGAAGGTCTGAAATATGTTTGGTCAGTATTTACAATACTGGAAAAAGAGGTGAGATGCATTGTGTATTTTTGTACGAACTCAGTTTAGACCAGGTTTTGGGCAATAGTAATTGGTAAAATTGTATGATTTGGTATATAAAAAGTAATGAGCTGGAAGTATTTTCAGACATTATTGCATTGTGAATTGTGTGTGTTTGTGATTTGTGCATGATCACTGAATTGTTAGCTAAATCTGAAGGGACACATTTCTAGTACTTTGTGGCCAAGTGTCCATCTAGATTTCCTGATATGCTAGCCATCATAGTCTAACTGAGAACATTTGGAGTCAAACAAGGCCAGCGCTGTTTTGTATGTCAGCTTCCTGTTACAAAAAAAACCGTGAATCGCAGTAAGCCACACACACAAATCAGAGCATTATGATGGGCAGAGGCACAGGTACAAACCCCAAATTAGAGCTGAGATAACAGCACAAGTTACTGTATTTCATCCTACACGTTTGTAATGATGTCAGAGGACCTTGTTGCAAAGGAAGATGGATTTGAAGACGAGGAATCCAGCACAATGAAGACTATGAATATTGGGGGTGGTGTTGATGCTCAACTCTCTCTATATCTTCAGAGGTGGAAGAGACCCTCCAGAGCTATGTGTCTTGGGCTGCTGCGTGTTCTCTAATGGTTGGGATCATAGGCCTGACCGTTCAATAAAATGGACTCCTTGGTCAGTACTACTCTGCAGGGAGAAACCAACAGGCCAGATTCAACACCCTCACGAAAGAGAGAGACCAGTTACAGGAAAAGGTGAACAAACTGGACATGGAACTCAATGGAAAGAGGACGTTTGGAGAATCCATATACTACCTCTCTACTGAGAAGACATCCTGGCATGAGAGAAGACAGGACTGTCAGAAGAGAGGGTTAGACCTGGTGATCATAAACAGCGAAGCGAAACAGGAATTTATATATGGATTCAAAAAATGTCTGAAAGTCTGGATTGACCTGCATGACATCAAAATAGAGGAAGACTGGGAGTGGGTTGACGGCATATCAGCTACAACTACTTATTGGATGAAAAATGTACCCAATAACTATGACGTCGAGGACTGCGGTATGTTCGGTGATATGGAGTTGAATTTGGATATACATGTAAGAATAGATTTAGCTAAAATTAGAGTAATTTTTATAATTTGTCATTATATTCATTATGCAACATTTGTACAAACTTAGTTTAGACCAGGTTGTGGGCAATGGTAATTAGCAAAATGTTATTTTATTGCTGTAGAAAAAGTAATAAGCAGTAGGCTCGAAGCATTATCAAACATTGCATTGTGAATTATTTTATATTTTATTAGTAGCTTAAACACAATGTGCTGTTCACTCTGTTGAATTACACTGGACTAAAACCTGTCTTGCATGTCTTTTGCAAAACATGGCACAGAACACCGGAGAACAAAAACTATGTTCAGATATGTTCAGATATGTTCAGATATATATATATATACACATAATATATCAATGCGTATCTTCATAAGAGTCAAGTGATGTATAATGTGTTACAATTCTCAAATGAGCAATGTAGAATTTAGTTATTAAACACGTGTACATGCACACTAATAATTTGATATTAAACTAATTATGGCAATAAGCCGAGTGTGGAATTAGTAATGTAAACGCCTTACTCTGATTATCTTAACTGGTGTAAGGATCATTTAAAACAACTACATTTCTTTGCAATCTTCCAAAAAAAATAGGACATGTAAACACCTTAACCCTGTGAGCCAACGTTGAAAAAATAGTTTCCTAAATTGCATCCTGTATAGGCCCTAAACTAAAAAATTATGTCAAACACTAAATAGTCCATGTCTTTAGATCCAGATGTATCTCTTAGTGGCATTTGTTGTGTGTCAGTATGATTATTGTGGCATCAGTAGCATCTGAAACATTAGAAAACTGTCCACTCATCTGACATCCCCTAAACAAGCAAACTGTATGTTGTAGAAGCATTCTGAGCCAAAGCTAGAGGTAGTTTTGTAAGTGTTACAAAAATGCAACATTGGACTTAGAAAAGGGTTGCCAAACTGAGACAGGGCCACATTGATATATTGATAGAGAAGTTAGAGAGATTGTTTCCCTTCCAAATTCTGTATGGATAACCAATTACTTCAAAAGTAACTTTAATGCTTTGATACAAACTGAATATTAAATATATGAATTTGTATATTGTACCTGTAACCCCCCCCCCCCCCCCCCCCCCCCAAAAAAAAAAAGGCTAAATAAATAAAAATGTGGTAACAAAAAAAGTAACTTTGATGCCCCCTCTACACACCAAAATAGTAGAAATTTATATAAAAATAAAAGTGTGTGGTTTATGAGGTCAAAATACTGCCATTGACGACCATTCATTTTATGGTTAAGAAGTAAGACAGGAAGTTATCTCTCCAAATTAAGTCAGAATGGAAAACCAAAAATTACTAAAAGTAAGTTAGATGTTCTCCATACATATAGAAAACACACAAAATAGTTTATCCTTTCAAAAATATATGTTTTTGATTGCAAAATACTAACATTTGGATTGAGTTAATATGACTTAAATTCCAATGTATAAACCATTAAACAATATTTGTATCACATGTAAATACTTTTGATACATTTTGATGTGAAGATTTTTCTATAAACTTGAAATAAATAAAAAAAATACAATTTTCATAATCAGAGCCTATTACAAATATTTCTGAAGGGTAAATTGATCTTTTTTTTTTTTTTTTTTCTATTTCCAACTTCCTGCTGTGTATTTGATTATCAGATGTCCATGTAAACAGCATTATTAGTAAAAATGGTTCTTCTTGCAAAGCATGTAAACATTTAATTGAACACACAATGTGCTGCAGTCTGTTCACTCTGTCTGTTGAATTACACTGAACCAAAACCTGTCTTGCTGTCTTTGGAACTTGTCTATTGCAAAACACGTAACAAAATATTACAATATAGAGTGTGTGATTCGGGAAGGATTCTGCAGGAGGATTTTGAGATCACATGCTGAGCTCCTTCAGTTTCCTAGAGTACACAGGAAAATTGTTGTCCCTCTCATTCAGTGGAGAAAAAAAACATGTACACAGTTGTATGTATACAGTTATAAAGAAATGTTTTTGTAGAAGGCAAAAAAAAAAAAGATTAATGTATATTCTTTCAAATAGATAAGATGGTAGAGTTTCAGGCCTCAAGTCTGATGTCTGAGGTCACAATGATCGTACAAGAGATTTGCTCTGCCAAAACACCCCTGGGTAAAAATCCAATTACTCCAACAATGCCACATTTCCCAGAAAGACATTTCGGAAACAACATGTGCCCCCAACCTGAAGGTGCACTTAGTCGAACCTACCCTTTGCTCATAACATTTAGCCTTTTCAGACTTTCCTTTTCCCCTTTCAGAGACCTAAAACGCTAAACATTGCTTACACTGCATTGATGTGTTGTGCATATTGTGTGGTTCAATTTAACTATGTGCATTCTGTTTTTAATTAACGCCACAGGTTGTATACTCTGCATCCTGAGTATGTTGGGTTTGGTCCTTCCAGGTAGCAAGTACAGTATCTCTGGTATTCTCATAACATCTCACTCCACAGGGTTTTTCATTTAGCATGGATTACAATCAGATGCACTGGAGCAAATCAGATGTTCTAAATGCAGGCAGGATGTGGGTGCCCAAGGCCCCCCATTAGCCACCTGCTGCCAGGCAGGAGTATGGACTGATTACTGCTCTGATTCTCTCTCCTTCTAATCCTGAGAGAGACATAAAAAATGACTTGTGTCCCAAGGCGGTTTAATCTCTAAAAAACAGCCTGTGAATGCATAATATTCTGCCTACACCTGTATCATTACAGTAGAACATCAGTAGAAGTCCCTAGAAGTTCAGTATTTTACAACTTGATGTTAGATAGTCCCAGTTAGGCAGGGTACTTGCCTCAACATCAGACTGTTACCATGGTTACTCCATGGATATCAGTCTGAAAGAAGTCACTGTAAAGAAGATGCAATAGTCTCTACAAGCCAGAATGTTGAATAAAATAATATGAGGTTACTTTACCGGTTGGTCCTTTTGGCGGTAGGAGGTGGAGATAGGGTATCCACTGGAAAGTGTTGTTTACCTGACTTTTTGCGGCGCCGGTAGGTTCTGTCGCTTGTATTTTCAATCTTGACGCATTGCACAATATTTAAACAATAGCCGAATGTAACCGACTGTAGTCAACCGAAGCATGTTTCCTTGCAATCAGCTGGAAGTGTTGGCCGTTCGGTCTGTGATTCAGTTAGGCTCAGCCATATTGTGCAAGTGTTTGTCATATGCGAATTGCATCAGTATTGAAAAACGGAAGTACAAACCGATATACAGACCAGCGTACTGAAAGTCGCGTTAATAACACTACTCTGTGGATATTTTGTCTCAATTTTCAAGCAGCAGGACAAATCGCACAGACCAGACAACCGGTAGAGAAAGTTTCAATGTAATTTTATTAAACATTCTGGCTTGTAAGGAACATTTACACAATTCTGCACACAAATGTCTCAGGCTGTATACAGTAGGTCTAATTAAGAAGGGCTGTCACAACAACGTAGTCTTTCCCTGCAATGCCAGGCTTGAGGGTAATGGTTCAGTATCTAATAGAGGACATAAGAATGTTAACAAACCTCAACTGAGGCCTTTCACTGCATGCCAGCCCAATTAAACACAGCCATAAAGAAATGGAAGGTAATTAAAGTGAAGCGATACATTCTTCAACTCATCTTTTTAATAAATATGTCTCTATTGGATTATCACTGCTGTATCTGCATTGCTGAATCCTATGCTATACTTGACAGTGGTTTATGGTGGAGGAGAACTGGCTGCATTCCACTGTTTCTATATGCATATTTGGCAGGACTAGCATATAGCTAAGCTGACATTAGGGTAGTCATTGGGATCCATTTGGAGAAGCTTTTCATGAGTCTTGTCAAAATATTTGTGACGTAGGCCTACCTGTTGTTTTGTCAGGAAGCCCTTGAAAATGTGAGGAGTCACATCAGGGGGTTTAGCCTGCACATAATTTCCTAATTAAATATAATTTAGATCAAAGAGCAACTTAAAACGTACCCTTTTCTCAAGGTCCATTTGCAAGAATGTAGAAGGTAGAACTGAGAGGAGGCAATAATAAGTAGATGGAGACACATCTATTGTATCCAGAGACACGACCCGGCAGACTCCACCTGAACAATCTCACAATGATGACTCATGGGTATAAAAGCAAGCCTTACAGAACAATGAACTGTCTCAGAGAACACAGGTTGTTTGGTTTAGGTTGCAAGCTCTAGTCATTTAAAGGGTCAATTTTGTTTCGAAGCGAGTTGTTTCCATTTTAACCTCCCCTAATCCTAACCCTTATCTTAAAGGGGAATGGAAACACTAGGCTTTAGAACACCAGCTTATGAAACGGCGTATGGGTATTTTCTGTCAAAAAATATACATTTCAAATAACACGATTTGACAGGACAAATAACACTATTTGAAGCATCAAATAAGCTTGTTGACCAATCAGGACCTGAATGTGATCGCATGTCACATAATAATTTAACACGTTCATAAATGTTTTACGTAGTTATTACTCATTGATTACACTATCACTCGTATTTCATATGTCACAGTGATTCACCTATACGTAAGCTATTATGCTGGTAAAGTTTTGTCTCGCGAACATGCCGCAGCCACATGAGGCAGACGTACACTTCCCAAAGCTCTGGGACACTGCTGGTCAGAAAAACAGCAAACATCATCTGTTTCAGTAGTTATAGTTAGCTAGCTAGCTATCTAGCTAGGTGTCATAATCTAAAATACCCCTAATTTAACCCTTTAGACCCCAACAGAAATCTAGGATGCTGCTGTAGATTACTGAGAATTTTCAAGATAAAGCTCATTTTCTCACACATTTTAAACAAACAAACAGACATAGCTAAAAAACTAAGAACAAATGACGATAACAAGTTAGCTTACTTTTAAAGAGCACAACCTCTTCTTTACTATGACACCACATTCATGTCAATAGGAATAACACTCATTTTGTCTTCCATTGTGTAAAGACACTCAACACAACAACAAAAAACTAGAGTATTTAAATTGT